TACTGTTAAAATATAGAAGAAACGACCTTAAATGGAGCATCAGTAATGGCACAACTAAATAAGTTTTGTACGCTTCTTTTGCTACAGGTAATAATGCAAAGAAACGACCTTAAAACTTGCACTGGTGAAGTCAGAAGATGCGTTTCCTAATTGCGTAACGTGACCATCGATCCCGAGATTCATTCAATCACGAGTGAAGAAATAAATAAGATTTCTGGTCAGCAGAAACGCTCCAATAAATATATAAATTTCTTGTTGATGTTTATTTTAAATTCACGACTATGTCAACAGCAGTTCCACAGGGTAGTGTTCTAGGTCTCAATTAACAAATATTTTATTTTCAAAGCAGAAAAACTTATATGATTATAACAATTTGTACCTGAATAAATACTTTTTAAAAGCTTCTTTACATACTGGTAAAAAAAACTAGAAGAAACCACCTTAACTGATGCATCAGTAATGAAATAAATACATGAGTTTTCTAAACGACCTTAAAAGTTCCATCTGTAATACCAGAAGATGCATTTCCCCAATTGCGTAACGTGACCATCGAACCTGAGATTCATTCAATCAAGAGTGAAGAAATAAATAAGATTTCAATGCTTCTTCAGCTACTGCTAAAAATGCGAAGAAACGACCAGTAACACCATCAGAAACGTTCCAATAAAAATATAAATTTATTATTGATGATTTTTTTAAATATTCGAGTTAAATTCACGACTATTTCAACAGAAGTTCCACAAGGTAGTGTTCTAGGTCTCAATTAACAAATATTTTATTTTCAAAGCAGAAAACTTCAATAATTATAACGTTTGTAACTGAATAAATAAGTTTTAAAAGTTCTTTACATACAGGTAAAAAATAATAGAAGAAACGACCTTAAAAGTTCCATATGTAATACCAGAAGATGCATATCCCCAATTGCGTAACGTGACCATCGATTCATTCAATCGCGTGTTTATCGATCTTAATCGCGCTCTGTTGAAGCTCCGCAGATCGTTAAAGCAATGAGTTTCTAATTCATTGTAATTAAATACCAACAAGGTGTGAATTATGCTGCCACCGCGCTGCCACTTTTGTTGTTGTTATTGTTGTTGATCAACGTTCGCGCAAGACCATTCATCGAACGCTCCTGCAGCTGCAATTGTCGTTCACAATGAATCTCTTGTGGGCGTGAAGAAGGAATTCGATTCGCAATTAGATTGCCTCCAATCGCCTTGACCATTCAAATACTCTTCAAATAGAAATTTGTGATATACAAAAAAAAAAGAGGAATTCATTGAATATAATATGTCGATTCATTAAAAACCTTTCAAATTCATTTACGACAAGGACTTTTAAATTTTCTGTTAAATTCCAGTAGCACTTATGAAATCATATTTTATTTTAATACAAGGCTATGAGAATAATCCTTTTTTTTACTAATAAACAAAAATTAACCTCAGTTTATTGTTGCTATGTAAAAACTTTAAATTATCACCTTGACAACGATAATTATTTGACACAAACTTCGAGATAATTCTAAAATCTAAGAAGATTCTTCACTGTCTAAGAAATATTTTTGTAAATGAAAATACTAGAGAAAAATTTTTGGTTTCATCAAAAACAAATTTTCTGGTTAGACCTTGATAATTCAATTACATTATTTTTTGTGTTCAAATCTAAAAAAACGTTCAGAATTGAAAATTACTTCGATTATTATAATATATATCATTTTTTATAATTAAATAAATAAATAATTACCATGACAATGATGAATAACCAATGGAATTGTACAAGAACTATAATTATAACATTCTTCAATTATGTGCAATGAGACTTCTGGTTTTCAAAGTCCTTGACGATTCAATCATTTCCAATCTTCAATAATTAACACTTAATCAATATCAGTTTACCAAATGGAATTGAAGATGAAAATTTCCTTTCAAAATCCATTATTTCCAATAATTTTCACTTAATTATATTCTAAAAATAATGTTTACAAATTGAATTGATGAAATATTGAATAAGAAAATTTGATTTACAAAACATCACTTTTTACTTGATCGAAGATACAATTGATGATGGGAAAAAAAATAGTATAGACAGAAGTGAAAATAAAAAATAAATAAGGAATTAAACGCATTCTGCCTGATGTGTAAACAAAGTATGTTGGTCGAATGATGTAACTATGAGGTGTTTTTTTTTCTGCAGAGGTGTTTAGTAAGAGGTAGAACGTTGAGAACAATGCGATATTAACACAATTATCTCACCTTTGTCTGAGCCTAGATGCAGATTTTACGCTTTTTATTAAATATTGCGTGCAAATTTATTTATTAGTAACAATAAACCGGTAGAAAGTCCATCTGACGAAGTGAAACATAAAAAAAATATAATAAGAGGAATCGATTTTGGAATTAATTAAAGTTTTCCATTATATGTTTATAATTAGTTGCTCAAAGAGAAATTTAGAGAAACCATTGTTTTAGCTTAAACAATTTTGATTTTTTTTGTTGTTATATAAAACTAATTAGTTTTTAATTGATTTTTTAACCATAATTGGATCGTGTTCAAAAAATGACAGCTGTCACACACACGATGACAGCTGTCACAAAATGACAGCTGTCATCATCAAGTGATTGTAAAATAAATTGTTAGCATTTGAGAAACACTGATCTAGATAATAAGTTTTGTGAAAGTTGTGCGTTTGCAATGGGAAATGAATTATTTTTAAAAATGGAAATGAAAACACATGCATTTTCTTTTATAAACTTTTAAGATAAAGTTGCATCATTTGCGCGTATACAAAGAACAAACTTGAACTGTAAAACAAAACAGAGATTATTCACGTTTCCGTTTAAACTTTCAAAATGATTAGCATAAATCTCCGATTAATGAATGACTCACTGAACGAATTTTGTAATTATCCATTTCTTCAAACGCAGTAGCAATTGCTGTAATTAATGCAATCGGATAAGTAATTGAAATGCTTTGTTTGTCTGCGTTTGTAGACAGTTCATTGAGATAACGAGAGATGGAGCAAATTTTCGACTTAGATAAACGCGCGTGGAGAAGGAAACGATTAAATTATGCGCGAGGATTTCCAATGAAAGTTCGCTTTACTAACATACATTTGCTCCTACATTAATAGTTTTTTTTATTTCGTTGTTATTATTGTATATGCATTTAATTTATTGCTAATTTGTAGGTGAATTAATAATAATCATAATATTCGAATAATTTTGTCGGGTGAAAGTTATCCAACCATCCGCACCTTTCAAATGTGTAACTTTTTTTTTGTACACACTTTTTTTTTTAATTATTATTATTAATTAGTGTAACACGATGGAACCACGACCGAATAACTTATGCTAAATGAATTATTCATTTTTTCTAACATTATACACATTTTTAAGACATATTTTATATTTCAACAAAATGTCATAAAAGAAACGTTACTATTTGATTTTAGTGTCATTTTCTTTCTGTTAAGTTTATGTTAGTTTTTATTTCATATTCTTTTAGTGGACATTGCCTATTTTTTTTATTATGAAAAGTTTGATATTCTCGCAATTTCAGTCATTATAAAAAAAATAAACCAAAGTTTGTTATTTTTAAATGAATTTGTTTCTCTATGAAGAAAATGTCATAAAAGAAACGTTACTATTTTATTTTACTGTCATTTTTTTTCTGATGAGTTTATGTTAGTTTTTATCTCATATTCCTTTAGTGAACATTACCTAATTATTTATTATGACAAGTTTAATATTCTCACAATTTCAGTCATTATAAATAAATAAACTAAAATTTGTTATTTTTTAAACGAATTTGTTTCTCTATGAAGAAAATGTGATAAAAGAAACGTTACTATTTTATTTTACTGTCGTTTTATTTCTGTTGAGTTTATGACAGTTTTCATCTCATATTCCTTTAGTGGACATTACCTATTTTTTTATTATGAAAAGTTTGATATTCTCGCAATTTCAGTCATTATAAAAAAAATAAATCAAAGTTTGTTATTTTCTAAATGAATTTGTGTGTCTATGAACAAAGTGTCATAAAAGAAACGTTACTGTTTGATTTTCCCGCCGTTTTCTTTCCGTCAACTTTATGTCAGTTTTTATTCCATATTCCTTCAGTGGACATTATCTAATTTATACTGAGGTTTATTTATACGTTGTTTGCTATTTTTTAAATGAGGGAACAAAATGTCAAAGAAACGTTACAATTTGATTTTATTGCTATTGAGATTATGTGAATTCTCAATTAATATTCATATAAAACGGACTATATAAGTTGTCAAACTTTTGGTAGTCTCACAATAATTACAGAGATTAATAAAAATTATTAAAAAAATTGGTTATGATAAATTGTGGCAATCAAAAAATATTCATAATTTATCAATAAATTTCTGAATGATGAAAGTACACTAAGAACAACATTGTGATAGTTTCTTCGATTGTGCTAAATGCAATATGGAAATGTATCCAATTATTGAGTGAAAGTTTCCATCAATTTTTTTTTTGGAACTATTTGTTTTCCAAACCTGTGGAACAATGAGCCACAATTAAAAAAAAAGGGTAATAAAGAAACCAAAACTAAGACAATAGAAGTCTTCCGGTCTATACGAGATGTAGACAGGAAAACAAAATACGGATCAACATTTCGTTTTCATACGTGGACCATATTTACGTAACGAATGCAAGAAAAACGTTTCCTTTGCACGCCAACTTTCTATCCAACAATCGAACCTCTAAATCTTCCGCTCCGGGAAAAGACAACAACAGACAGCAAAACAGAAACTGGATCAGCAGAGAAGAAAAAAAAAGATGTACTTTCCCATTTTCCGAATTCCCATTAATTAAGCAATGCAGACTTAGTGTCTTTTAATTGCGTCGTATCGATTTTCCGCAATTCTATAGCTGCAATTCTCTCTCTCTCCATTTTATTTTATCTACATTTTTTTTCTTTTTATAGTGCGTTCTATAATTAGTTAATTACTTCTTTCTTTGTGTTTCCAGGTCATGTTGCCGTTTTTGGGCTTCGTCTTGGTGTCGCTGGTTGGTGCGGACCCACAGGGCCACTACAACGTTTTCCTGCAGCACGAGACGCCTTCCAGTTTCGGACAAGGCTTCGATTTCAACACGATACAGCAGAGTCCCGCATTCGGAACACCCAGGTACTTAAATACCCATTTGTAAAGAGCAATTTCCATCCTAATTGTTAATTTTTTGCAGCGGATACTTTGGTGCGACGCAAGCACCGCCAGCTGCTACCACCGTCGATCCTATCACTTTGGGATGCGGCACACCTCCAGCGTCTTGCCCTAAAACCAGGTACCGTTCATACGACGGTTCTTGCAATAATCTGAAGAACCCGGTGCTCGGTACACCGCAAACTCCGTACGTTCGATTGCTTCCCGCAGTCTACGGAGACGGCCTCAGCACTCCGACTGAATCCAAGACTGGAAAACCTCTTCCACCTTCTCGCGTCGTCAGTTTGCTGTTGTACCCTGACGTTCCTTTGGAAGATCCAAAATGGACTTTGAACGCTATGCAGTACGGACAGATCATCACGCACGACATGAGCATGATTGCTGGTTCAACTCAAGCTCGTGAGTAACATAAAAAGAACATACAAATTTGAACTGAAATTTACTTTTTGTTCGAATTCATTCGCAGAACCTCACCAGACTCGTTGTTGCACCGATGATGGACAACTCTTGGAGTTGGCCAACATTCCTGAACATTGTTACCCGATCCTCGTACCACAGGATGACCCAGCTCACGCCCAAACCAACACCAAATGCATGAACTTCGTGAGAACCATCACCACCAGAGACAGGAGATGCGTCAGCGACTACGAACCTGCCGAACAAGTAATGCAATTTATACAAATCTCAATTGATTAAAACTAATGATTTATTCTTTTCTCTTCTTGTAGTTAACCGTAGTCAACCATTTCTTGGACTTATCCATTGTCTACGGAAACAACAACGACGTGAACAGACAAGTAAGGGAATTCCGCGGTGGAAGATTGAGGGTTGATGTGAGGAGAGGAAAGGAATGGTTGCCACGTGCCGCCAACGCTACCGCTTCGTGCAGTATTCAAAGCCCGCAAGAGGCCTGCTACTTCGCAGGAGACACCCGCGTCAACCAGAACCCTCAACTCACCCTCCTCCAAACCATTTTGATGAGGGAGCACAACAGGATCGCCGACGTCCTCTCAAAGTTGAACCCTCATTGGGACGACGAGATCATCTTCCAAGAAGCAAGGAAAATCGCGATTGCCGAACATCAACACATCTCCTATTACGAATGGCTTCCAATCTTCATCGGAGCCGACAACTCGCTGAAGAACAAGATTCTCTTCAACACCAAAAATTATGTTGATGATTACTCCGAGCACGTGGATCCGACCATCATCAACGAACACGCCACTGCCGCTTTCAGATACTTCCATTCGGCCATCGCCGGACATTTAGAGTAAGTTAATTTGTTAATACCAAACATTCAATTGGTAATTTATTGATTTTTTTAGCTTGGTCACTGAGCACCGTTCCAGCTACGGTAACGTCCGTTTGAGCGATTGGCTCTTGAGGCCTGCCATCCTTGAAGAGGAAGATAACTTCGATGATTTGACCAGAGGTTTAGCCACTCAACCAGAATTAAACGTAGATCAATATCATGATAACGAGGTAATTAAAACTATAATTTTTATAAAATCAAAGCTTTAACACTTTTCTTTTGTAGATCACCCAATATTTGTTCCGTGGAGACCGTCCGTTCGGAGCCGACTTGAAGGCCATCGACATCCAAAGAAACAGGGATCACGGTTTGGCTTCTTACAATGATATGAGGCACTTCTGCGGATTGCCCAAAGCTCACACCTTCGACGACTTCACCGACGTCATCTCCAAGGAGAACGTGCAGAAATTGGCCGCCCTCTACCCAGATCCCGACGACGTCGATCTGACCGTTGGTGGATCTTTGGAAGCCCACGTTCCTGGAACTTTAGCCGGTCCAACTTTCCTCTGCATCTTGACCGAGCAGTTCTTCAGGACCAGAGCCGGTGATCGTTTCTGGTACGAGCACAGCGAACACAACAACGGATTCACCTTATCCCAATTGAACGCCATCCGTAAAGTGAGCATTTCCCGTCTGCTCTGCGACAACGGCCATCACATCGAAGCCATGCAACCGAGAGGATTCGAAAGAATCTCCCACAGGTAATTAAAAAAAAACGCTTATATCAAAAAAATCAATTATTAACACATCTTTCATCTCTTCAGCAACGGCGTCGTACCATGCGAATCCCTACCATCCGTCGACTTATCCCTGTGGAAGGATCTGGGCGGAGGTCATCAATTGGGTCACGGCTTCGAATCCTACAACTTCAAGAAGTAATCGACGAACGGAAAATAATGTGCATCGATAAGGAACTAAAACCTCATCCACTTCACTCCTCCTCGATCCTTATCGAAATCACATTCCCGATCCTCTCTTTCACTCACTCATACTTACTCATACACCTCTACATTATTGTCTTTGTTTTATTTGTGTGTGTTTTTTTTGTTTGTTTTCCTTTCAATCTACCCGATTTAATTTTAGTTCGATATAAATAACGTAATCTTAGGCATTATCTATCTATAAACACTACCGTTAAGTATTTGTTATTTATGTGTACGGTTTTAAATGTAGCGAGCAGTAATGTTAAGATTGAATTATATAATTTGCGTGTTTTAGATAAGAATCATCCAAATTATTACCCAATAAAAATTGCTTTTATTTTTGTAAATTAAATTGCGATAAGAATTGATTTCGTAAACCTATAAAACGCGCTGCAATTGCGGAGATTGATTTAGTGAAATATATAATCATGTCTCTTCCGACGCTTTACGAGCACTACACGGGTGGTGGGATATCGGCTGGATTATCGGCCGATCAACCTTACTTCACCTTGAACAACAAGAACATAACGCTCTTCAGCGGCGCTTTGCACTACTTCAGGGTTCCCCAAGAGTACTGGAGGGATAGGTTGAGGAAGATGCGAGCTGCGGGTTTGAACACTGTGGAAACTTACATCCCTTGGAACCTGCACGAACCTGAGCCCGGCGTATACGATTTCGGTTTCGGAGGAAGCGATTTCCAAGATCTTCTGCACGTGGAGAAGTTCTTGAAAATAGCGCAAGAGGAGGATTTGTTCGCTATAGTGCGTCCAGGTCCTTACATCTGTTCGGAATGGGAATACGGCGGTCTTCCCAGCTGGTTGCTGCGTGAAAAAGGGATGAAAGTCAGGACGAGCGACGAGAAATTCATGGGTCACGTGGAGAGATATTTCAAGGTTCTTTTCGCAATTTTAACCATGTTCCAATTCACCAAAGGAGGTCCAATCATCTCCTTCCAAATTGAAAATGAGTTCGGTTCAATGGGTATTAAGGAAGACGCATATCTTAACGGTTTGAAGAAGATGTTCGTGGATGGCGGATTGACGGAGCTGTTCGTCACGTCGGATGGACCGTCGTTCGGTAATTTGGGGCAGATCGATGGGGTTCTTTACACGGGGAACTTCGACGCCGATCCTGAAGACCACCTGGATATCATGAAGACCTTCCAGAAGGATAAGCCTTCGATGGTGATGGAGTATTGGTCCGGATGGTACGACCATTGGGCGGAGAAACATCACAAAGTAAAGAACGATTATTTCGCCGATATCTTCGAAAGGATCCTCAAATATCCGTCTTCCATTAATCTGTACATGTTCCACGGAGGAACCAGCTTCGGATTCATGAACGGAGCCAACATCATGGATATTGGTATAGATAATGATTCCTATAAACCCGACACAAACAGCTACGATTACGACGCTCCATTGAACGAAAACGGCGATTACACCGATAAATATTACATCACCAAAGAGCTGATCGAAAAGTACAACGACGTAAAGACTTTGCTTCCAGAAGAACCAGCTTTAACACCGAGAATCGCTTACGAAAATATTACCGAAATAAAGCAAATCAGCTTCGATGAAGCGTTGAAACAAGCTCCGCACAACATCAAAAGCGACGTTCTTTTACCAATGGAATTGTTGGACATCAACAACGGCGCTGGACAAAGCTACGGTTACATAGTTTACAGGAAGACTAACTTGAATATTCCCCAAGGATCGACTTTGAAGATCGGAGGAAGGGTTACCGATTCCGTTTTCGTTTTGATCAACGGCGAATTGAAGAGCAAAGTTCTTGAGAGTCAAGCGGATCTGGATGGGTTCGGTTTTTGGAAGGCCAAGGATTCTTCACTGTATTTAGGCGATGAGGCTTACGAGGGAGCAACTTTAGAGCTGGTCGTGGAGAATTGGGCTCGTAACAATTTTGGTCTTCAGGGTCAGTTCGAGCAATACAAAGGAATCTGGCAAGGGAACGTCAGTTTAAATGAAGATAACCCTTTGGAAGATTGGGAGTTAATCCCTTTGGAATTCAAGACGAACTGGACAAATTCGCTGTCCGGTTGGGAGAGCCAGAAGGAAGTTACCGGTCCGGCCTTGTACAAAGCCATCCTCGAGATCGAAGGTGAACCCAAAGATACTTACATCGATATGAGAGATTGGAACACCGGTATAATCATCGCGAACGGTTTCGTCTTATCCAGACACATGCGTCTTGGACCGCAACAATCCGTTTACCTTCCTGGACCGTTCCTGAAGCAGGGAAAGAACGAAATCGTCATCTTCGAGCACTTCAAAGCCGCGACCTCATTAACCTTCTCCGATAAGCAAATTTTTGAAACGCGTAAATAATTTGTAAATTTTTGTTATTGTCAAACTGTAAACAATAAAAACTGTGTATGTCACAATGACATTTGTCAAATCGATGAGTTTGCCTACTCTGTACGAACATTACACCCGTGGAGGGATCGAAAGTGGGCTCTCAGCGAATCAGCCCTTCTTCACGCTGAACAACAGAAACATCACGATTTTCAGCGGCGCCATGCACTACTTCCGCGTACCACCAGAATATTGGAGGGACAGGTTGAGGAAGATCCGGGCCGCAGGTTTGAACGCGGTGGAAACGTACGTCCCGTGGAATCTGCACGAACCTCAAGCGGATCGTTTCGATTTTGGATCGGGAGGTTCGGATTTCGAGAAGTTTCTGGATATCGAATTGTTTTTGAAGATGGCCCAAGAAGAGGATCTGTTCGCGATAGTAAGACCTGGTCCTTACATTTGCGCTGAATGGGAATTCGGCGGAATGCCCAGTTGGTTGCTGAGGAATCGCGAGATGAGATTGAGGAGCAGCGACGCCACATTCATGTTTTACGTGGAGAAATACTTCAGGACTTTACTCTCGATTTTAACGGTGCTACAATTCACCAACGGCGGCCCGATTATAGCGTTTCAAATCGAAAACGAATTCGGTAGCTTGAAAATGCACGATACGCGATACTTGAAGGGTTTGAAGAGGATCTTCAGGGGTTACGGAATTGTTGAGCTTCTGTTCACTTCGGATGGACCATCTGCAGGGAATTTAGGCCAAATCCCGGACACTTTATTCACAGGGAATTTCCAAAGCGATCCCAGACAAGAATTACGAATTTTACAGAGCTACCAACCGGGAAAACCATTGATGGTGATGGAATATTGGACCGGATGGTTCGATCATTGGGGCGAACCGCACAACGCGATACCCGATTACGATTTCGTCTACACTTTAGGTATAATCTTAAGATTTCCGGCTTCGGTTAACCTGTACATGTTCCACGGAGGAACCAGTTTTGGCTTCATGAACGGAGCGAACTATTTCAATAGGGAATTGGGAAATGCGGCTTTCCAACCAGACACGAACAGCTACGATTACGACGCTCCGCTCTCAGAGAGCGGGGATTACACGCAAAAGTACTTCAGCGCGAAGAACTTGATACGAATTTACAATAAAATCAGAACGAGAATACCGCCAATGCCGAAGTTGAAAAGGAAGGTGGCTTATGAGACTATAGAGATTCAGCATCAGCTCACGCTGCTCGAGATGTTGGAACAAATACCTTACAGGATATACGCAGACACCGTGATCCCAATGGAAGCGCTACCAATCAACAATAACTCGGGTCAAAGCTACGGCTATATAGTGTACAGAAAAGAGAATATTTACATCCCACCTAATTCCATTTTGACGATAGTCGGAGGAGTCTGCGACACGGTCATGGTTTTGATCGATGGCGCTTTGAAATCCAAGATTTTGGAAAGCGTGAAAGACTTTAACGGCTTCGGTTATTGGAGATTGAGGGATTCCGAATTGGAAATAAACTCTGAATATCTTAATGCAACACTCGATTTGGTCGTTGAGAATTGGGGACGTGTCAACTTTGGTGCTCACCATCAGTTCTTCCAGTACAAAGGTCTGTGGCAAGGACCGATACTCTTGAACAACGAATCCGTTGATAATTGGGTTATAATACCTTTGGAATTTAAAACCAGATGGATCAAAAAGTTGACCAACTGGCATCCACTTACGTCGTCCATCTACAGAGGTCCTGCGCTCTACAAAACCAAGTTATACCTTGAAGATAAACCTGAAGACACTTACGTGGATATGAGGGATTGGAATAAAGGTATCGTCATTGTTAACGGCTTCGTGCTGTCGAGGTACTGCACTTTGGGTCCTCAACAAATGCTGTATCTTCCTGCTCCGTTCCTGAAGAGGGGATTCAACGATATCCTCGTTTTCGAGCATTTCGATGCTTTCGAGTACATCAAATTCTCCAACAAACAGATCTACCAAACGATGGAAAACAAACACGACATCTTCACGAAAAGAATATCCATCTACATCGAAGACTAAATATTATAATTTTAAATATATAAGTTAAACACAAAAATAAACATTATTTATCTAATACGAGTTTGCCTTAACTTCTATGGAGATTTCAACGTCGCAAGTTCATCTTCCTTAGACCAGAACCTAGAATCAGAGCAAAATTAACAGACAAAGCTCCCATTCTATGTCTAGGTCTTTTGAAGACGATTTTCAATCTTCTACTTTCTTCCAATTTGCGCTGAAATCTTACAAAATACATGTTTGTTTGAAGTTTAAACAGTTTTACTGTAAAAAAAATAACATATTATTCAGTATTAAATATTATGAAGTTAACTTACAAGTGTTGGTGGTTTATCCAAGATCTTCAAGATTTTTATTGTTATAATTATGGTTTTTCATAAAAAAAAATTGTGAATAGTAAACAAGACTCTAAGTCAGCGGTCGGGGGACTTTTTTAACCATTACCCCAAAATATTATTGCGCATGTCGATATTACCCTCCCAACCATTCTGAATAGAAAAGAATCAATGTAAATTTTAAATAAACATTATTTATTGAATTAATTTACATTTACATATTTATAAAAAAGAGTTAAATGAAAATAGTAACAAATAGTAATAGACAAACAAAATAAAATTCTTAAATTGGAACAAACAAAAATTAATTGAAAACTTTCCCCCTTCAGGTTTTGGAAAAATGATGTTGCTTCATGTTTGATATAATTACTTTAAAATTGGGAATTTTTGATGTAAGAGCAATTTGAATACAGTCTTCGGCGTTTAATCGATTTCTGTTTTTCGTTTTTATGTTCATTAGAGTGGAAAAGCCTTGTTCATAAAGGTAGGTTGTTGCAAATGGCAGCAATTTTTTTTATCGCCTCCTCATGTGCAATTTTGAAAGCCTTTGCAGCCTTTGATAACCAAAAAGACGACAGATTTACTTTGGTCTCAAATTGAATACGTGATTCATTCAGTATTCGATCGAAGTTCAAGAATTGCCTCTGCCAAACCTGGAAGTTCTTCTGGTATGTTAGTAATTTCACATTTAAAAGGATCTACAACCCAATTCACAGTTTGTACATCAAGATCTGAAAAGTAGTCAGAGAACTACTACTACTTCATTTTTACCCCATTTTGGGTAATTTACCCCAGTTCCCCGACCGCTGCTCTAAGTAGTAAACAAGTAAAGATTTAGTTGAATCTGGGAGGAAGGAGAAAAATAATAATAAAGACGTTCTGATGCTTTCAAACATTTAATACTGTTACGGTAATTCACACATTGAGCAAGAAGAAACCCGTTTGCCGTTCCGCCGGAGATGCCACACTTTAGACTCGGTTCTTGTGCGCCTCCGAAGACATCTCCGAAGAATGGCAAACGCCAAAAGTATTACAGTTGATAAGTATCATTAATTATAATTAAGTAGTGTGGGCGTTGACCTCTGAGCCGCGACTCTTCCAAAGTTATTTATCAAAACTAGTATAATCATCATCATCATCATTATCATCATCATCGTCGTCGTCATCATCATTCGTTTCTGTAAATTTGACATACCGCCTCGACCCAGCGACCAAACGACCCAAAGAAGTGTATACATATATTTATAAATGTGACAGACATTAACGTACAATTACATTTTTTTTTCTTCTTCTTTCGAATATGATTAACGTTTCGATCGACGATTTCCATCGTCGATCAAAACAATTAATTTATAAAAATACATTTAGTATATATATATATAATATTTTTTTTGTTCATTTCTTTTACTTCGTTTATTTATTTATTCATAATTGGTGATTGGATTCACGGCGTTTTTGTTCACGTAAATTAACGATTGATATGCCAATTGGTTTTTATTTGTTGATTGAATGTTCGCAAATCACGCAAACCGATGCAGAAAAAAGTGAAATTTAGAAACGCCATCGAATCACCAACTATTTTATTCATTCATTTACTTTTTTTTTCAGCTGAATCCAACAACTTACAATTAAACATCAAAGGATATAAGCGTATTCAGTTACAGTAGAGACGTCCACGTTTCAGTCAAATCGATTGATTCACAATTATTTTTTTTTTGATTCTCATTGTTTTTTTTTCTCTTTCTTTCCATCAAGTTCTTCATCGATTTGACGCGAGGACGCTTTTAGCAACACCGTAATATCTATAATCGTAACAATAATATCAATAGGACACTCATTATTAGTCATATGTAAAACGATTCTCTCTTTCTCACACTTTTTTCTCTCTCGATCAAATCGTCTTTACCCTGTAACTTCTTTTGTTTTAACGTCCTATTCCTCCAGAGACTACGGTAATACATACTCATCCTTTCTCCTTAACATTTTCTTGATAATTCCCAATTTTCCTTAACTGTCTTTAGTTGGTTCAATTGATTCTGTTTATTAAAATTTAGCCCTAATTTATTTTAGAATAATTCCTTCTGAAAATATGTTTAATTCTTTGCTTTTTTATATACAAATACTGCTGAAATTTGCTTTGAAGTATTCCGTTGGACTTTGTTTTCGGAAAATTCCATTACCATAGTTACGCAAAGTTCTTCGTTTATTCGGATTATCAACAAACTTTTTCTACATAGTTTTCATGTGGTTTCATTTAATAAATCAACTATTTTCATCGATTAACCGGATCTGTTTATGAGGTATTTCGGTTGCTTTTCTTATAGTTTAATTTTTCATAATCGAATGGGACACTTTTTTTTCTGTCATTTCACCAAATTTTCTCTTCTTCTTACACATTATTTCTTTTTACTTGATTTTCTCGTACATTTTTTTTTTTCATAATTAATCTTCAAGTGTACAAATTTTATTCATTCATTTATTTTCTATGGACTATTCAATTAATTTAGATTCATGAATTTAATTGGGTTTTATTTATTGTTATTCATTTTTTTTGTATCTTCAAGTTGATGTATATCCAAAATTGTTGTGTATTATTTCTTCATTTAGGTTAACGTTTTTCCAGAGGTTTTCATTGCTTTAATTATTGAATTATCACATTTTTTTTCAGTTGTATTTATTACTATTGATTCATATTGTTATTAACAAGTAGTAAGTTTTTTTTTTGTATCAGAATTAGTTCCATTTCTTTTTTATTCATTCCAATTCAATTCCTTTTAATTTTTATAACTTCTGTATATTTTCTGACATTATTACTTTAAATAAATCCTCTTTCATGATGTTACAATTTTTGACATCTGCTGTCATTTCTTCTATCCAAACTTCAAATCTATTTTCTTTTAAGCTGTTTCAATTATTTATTTATTTTTGACATTTCATTCATGTTTCAACTTTTGACATTTATATCTGCAAATCAATCATCTTTTAAGTTTACTATTTTTTTTTGACTTTTCATTCATATCACTACTTCGAATAAATCCCCTCTTCAAGATGTTTCAATTTTTGACATTAGCTGTCATTAACATTTTCTATCTCCAATCTTCCAAGACATTTTTCTTTAAACCTTTTTCAATTCCCTACATTTTTTTTGACATTTCATTCATTGACTCTACTTCGAATAAATCCTCATTCAAGATGTTTCAATTTTTGACATTTATATTGTCATTTGCTGTCATCACCATTTCATCTCATTTAATAAATCCTATTTAAAGCTGTTTCAGTTATTATTAATTTTTTTTTGACATTTCATCTCTATTGCTTATATTTACATTGACATTTTCTGTTTCAATAATTTTTTTTGACATTCAAGATGTTTCAACTGTCAACATTTCCTCTTATTACCAACCTCTTAATAAATTCTTATACTTCGACATTCCTCATTCTCCAACTGCCGTTACCATAGCAACTACTATCCTTTACTTTGGAAATACCGGTCCTATTTGTGCGCATTACTTATACTTAAAATTCTATTCTTTCAGCTCTCTTCTTAATTACTTATTCTCTCTTTTTATCATCATCATTTACATTCTTAATATCTAGTAACCGTTTCTAGTTAGTACCATTATTTTATTTTATTCCTTTTTTTACTCTTAAGTTTCTTAATCTTCTTTGAATCCAACTAAATCTGAATATTTTCATCATCATCATTTACATACTTTTCTCCTCTTAATACTCATAATTTTTCGATATGTTTCAGTTTGAATTTGTTAATCCTGAAAATATTTAGTAACCGTTTGTATTTAGTGCCATATTTCTTTCTGCTTGTTTAATTGAATTAAATTCAAGTTATTGTTAATTTTAGTGCCATATTTATTGTTTTCGATTTGAAAACCTCTGAATCAAACTTTAACCTGAATTGGGCGTTATCTGACGAAAATTTTGGACTGCTGAATTCGTTATAGTTTGTTTTTTTTTGAGCAATTTAAATCGAAGGTGTGCGGCGAGCTTAGATATTTCAATGAAGATAATCCTAGCAAATCGAAACGAAGCGATTCTCTCCAAGAAAGAACAGGACGTCGACTAATAATGAGGTTTGGAACTTGAACTTGGAACTAATGTTTTCTTGTATCATTTCTTTGTTTGCTTTAAGAGAAAAATTGGTTCCATTTTCTTAGTTTTTTTTTGGTACAACATCGACATGCAATTATATAAGTTATAATATAAGGTCCGCGAAGGACAGAGTGCTTAAGACTAGATCGCACGGATTCGATCTCCGCCAGATTATCATTGTCCAGATAATTTAGTCGAGATTGAAAATGTGGACAACAAATTAGACAACACCTTGTACACATATAGAACGAGAAAACTGAGCGCGAAATGCTCATCATTCGTTAGGAATCGAAACTTTATGTCGTCTTTAGTTAAGTATGGAAGTAACGAAATATTGGCAGATAAGCACAATTTTTTTTTTATATATTTTTTTTTTGTTGAATCTGTTAGAAAACTTTGGTTTTTCGGTGCAAATCTCTCGGATATTTCGCAAAAAAACTTAAATCTAGTGAAATATGAATATATAGTTTACGTCAGATGTTAAAAGTGAACTATCAGCAGCAGTGGATGAAACACACCCAGTCCGTATCACCTTCATTAAATCTAACTTACAAACTAACTAGGAAGCTTAATTTCGAACGAAAACCACGAGGATAACGATGGTTTCCGCGTTGCGTAATATCATTAAGGTAATCTTAGGAAGCTACATTTCGAACGGAAACCGTGAGGATGTCGACGGTCTCCGTGCTTTATAATAACACATCATCAATACTGGAACTAGACTAGTCGAAAGTTTCAATTAGTCATCTCCATGCGTAAGGTGCAGCCAGCGAAGTGGCTGCGCGTGATCAGTAAAAACCAAGGTATTTACAGGTCCTTAAAATCTATATTAGACTACAGATATTGGCATAATATTAAAGATCGTATATCAAATTAATAAACGATAGATCTAAACTACGTTTACTAAAACTAATTTTTTTTTGCTTTTTTAAATATATATTTTTTTTTGAGAGAACGAATCGGACCCTCGGGGTCTCAAATCCGCCTCCCATCTGTCATTATGACATCCTCGAGAGGATTGGGTGCGACCCCGCCCGCGGGGGTCGCGTATCTTTATTTTTATTCATTCCTTGCATAATTTTAAAGAATCCCTTGTACGAGATTCCTTAAAAAAGTTAATCTGGATTCCCGACTTGTGGGGAACCAAGATTCTTAATTCCTTAACCTTACTTAAGTAACCTTAACCTAACTACTTGTTGACACAACACCTCCGCTCTTTGCGGTGACGTAAAAGTATGACTTTTTGAAAGAAAACAAAACCCACACGATACGTGCAACATCCACTAGGATCCTCCCATTAATCAAAAAAAAATCAAGTTACTCCCAAAATCCAAATTCACTTTTGTCAAACAATCAAACAATCTCAAGATTGTTTGAATTATTATATTTTTTTAAATTTATCCCTAAAGTTGTCAAAAATCTCAGCACATTAATAACTTTACCAAAATCTACGATAAACACAAAACGTAATAGCCTTTGTCAATAAAAAAATTTCGAAACTTTCGAGGGATTTCGATTTTTTTTTCCATAAAATTTGCAAAGGCTTAAGTGAATTGACGCTTACGAAAGAAACGTTTTGAATCAGTTTTTTTTTTGTTATTGATGACAAAGTCAATCAATTTGGTTCCAAAAGATGTTCGAAGGGCCTAAATCGCTATACAAAAAAAAACGTAGTCGATCAATCACTTATTTTTAGAATATGCGACTTAAGTATTGCAAATTCAGATTTCGATGTTCGAATCTCATATAGCTGTATTCACTGGGATTTTATTAATCGTTAAGAAAAATGGTTGCTGTTCAAAATATCCGAAGTTTATTGTAACTTTAGGGATTTTTTTTTGAAAGATGGTAATTTGACAGTAATTTGACTTTTAATGACGTATGCGATGATTTTCGTGTTGTGCACGTCGTGACGGTTGTCCTTTCAAAAAGTTCAACTTTACGTTCGACTAGCTTTGAAGTGCTTAAACGTATCTAACTTATAACCTAAAGCTAAATAAGGACGAAACCGGTGCTACGGCGAATGCGTGTTGCGAACCCGGTTCCGTTTTATTGCTCCTATTATGTCTTATTTCATACATTTGGTTGATATACCACACCGATATGCGACTCCGAACAAAAGTCGCAAAATCCTGAACGTCACCTCTGCTAAACTTAAAACTAATTTAGAATAAACACCGTAAGAAGAACGCATATCAGCCTTCTTAGGCCCACTATTCACGAACGCGCTCGGAATAACGGGAAAAAATTATAGTAGTTAAATGAAAACACTTTTCTATACTCTACACTTACAATTAGGTTCCAATAAACACCTTAAAAAACTAGATTACAACTACATTGTTGAATCGCCGACGATCGTTTGGAAATACTCAATTGTGCGCGTGTCTGTGTACATTAGCTAAATTTTTTTTATATATATTAAAAACTGCCGTTGTTCTGCAGCTCACCTCAATCCATTGACTGATTCCAATTTGTTCCCAATCACGAGATTTCCTAAAGTTAAGAGTTTTTTTTTCGTGTAGATCCAAACGACCGAGAGCGCTTCAAACGCTTAAAACTAGATCTGTAACCGTTGATATTATTATGCTCCAAGGTTAATCACGAAGAGAAACCTGGGCTTGATAAATTATGAAAATCATATCGAATAACTGAAAAAAGCACTTAGAAATCTAAATATGTACATATGACGCTGGTTTGGTTGCCTTCATCAATCAATCTTCCAATCCGTACCTGCCACAACCGACTTCCAGACAAACGTAATTTCCAAACTAAATCCCATAAGAAAATCATAGACTTACAATTTATAACTAACATCAGAAGATTTATGCTTTGTTTCCCAATAAAAGGAAAGACAAAGGCTGCACCACATTTTGATCAAAAAAGTTCATTTTTGTTTAACTGCTTGATTTTAGGCTTAGGAATTCAGCGGATATTGTTGATAATTGATGGTTAATTTGTATCATCCGAAAAATTTGTAAACTAATCAAAGATGTAATTGCAAATGTCTTCCCCCTTGATAAAAAAACTTCTGATCAATCTACATATTTAAACCTATCTCACCGTTAGCCACGTGATATATTTATTAGTTATTCCTTATGCTAAACAATATCAGACTTTCATTTACATAATCAGCGCTGAATCTTGTTGTTTGAATGCGCTACTTCGTTTGTATGATCGTAATACAAAGCTTAAAAGCTATAAAACGCGTCACGATCTGCAGCTACTTTCTACGAAAACAAAAAGTTTTGTACTTTCATTCTGAGCTTTGTACTGTCTTCATCATATCTTACGAACGATTCTATTATTATTATCATTATTTTAGGTGATTTAATAAAAAAAAAAGGAAAAACTTTCGTCTCACATAGTTTTAGAAGAAATCGTGAAGCGAGGTCACTAGTGAAATATGTTAGTTTTTCATATTAATTTAGCAATTATTGTCTTTATTTAATTCAGTTCTGATGTTTCTATTATTTATTCGATTATTAGTGCTGAAGAAAGTCTCGGACTAACCAATAAACCGAATTAATTTAGAATATTCAATAGTTTATAGTTTTTAATTTTGGAAATTTCATAATTTTGTTTTGGAGATTTGATTTTGACTGATGGAAGAAAATCAAGTGCGTCGTTGATTATGAAACGTCAATTTAGACACGAGATGTTGTTTACGCAATTACGAATTTTGACGACAATGAAGATAAAAAAAAACAAATAGTTATGCGGCGAATTTGGACGTATGTGATTTTTTTTTGTCGTGACTTGGCAGTAGCTGCAAACGTGACGTGACTTAAGTTAAACACCGACTAAATCTACTGAATAGAAATGCCCGGTCGAACGCCGGAGTCTCATTTACTCTTAAACTTACAGATTACATCATTACATCCATTCTGTATTGCCAACTGCATAGATAACGTTTGTGAAACAAGCCTAATCGAAACTGAGGCTTTTCCTTAAAGCTAAACCATTTGACATTATATTTGACATCGTATCCCAAAAATGTGATGACAACATCGACATTTTGTTTATTTCTTTTGTTGTTTTGACCATTCCGAAGTGTGAACATAAAGCGGACGTAACCAAATGCATCTTTTATACTTAACCTAACTTAGTTCTTAATTAAGTGAGCATATTAAACTAACGATCAGCATGCTGGATCGAACGACGGAAATTATATTAGTTAACTGAAAAGCAGACAGCTACATTATTTACATTCCTAGCCATCTCAGCAATCAGTCATCATCTGCATAGAACACAACGCTTTTCTCAATCTCACCGCCAAACCTTCGAAATCAATCATCGTAATTAGAACGCAAGGACTATTATCTAGGTGGGGTCAACTGAAAGACGTTACCGCCACCTTGCGTGAGGTGACCCTAACTCTCCCAACCGACCGGATATGACTTGAACAATTATCTATTTAAACACTAACTTACGGTTAAAAAACGCCGAAAATTATACAAGTTAAATCAAGTTATCCTTAAAACCTAACTTATCGATTAACTATGACTAAATCTTAATTACCTCCCCCCGATCAACGTCCATCTTGCCGGATATGCACCCTGCCGATTTTTTTTTTGTACAGCTAGGTTTAGAGGCTTCAGCTAGAGAAGTGGTAATTTCGAACCGAAAAACTTGACTTTTGATGTACTTATTTCAATCACTTACTTGAATAATCAACTAAATCGAATCTGCTTAAATTAGTGGGCAAGATGGCCGTGAATCGTGTAACAAACACCCTTCGATCTACGCATCTATCTACAAGTTATAACCCGACCTATCATGTACTTACAATAGAGGAGTAACGGCTTTGTGTTTTTAACGTCTAAATCATAGGCAAAAACGCAATCGAGTCTTAACTAAGGTCCTTAAACGCTAAAGTAGAATCATCATACACACGACTATAGTCGGCATACACAATTCTCTTAACATTAATTAATCATAACAAACATTGCCATATTTTGATGACAAAACAATGTTATAAACCCCATCCACACCGTTCCCAACGAGTATTGCAAAACACACAATCAATTGCACAACCCAAATCCGATCCAATCTCAATACGCGCGATTTTTTTTTTCATTTTAGTTTTTCTTTTTACAATTCAGCGTTTATTCCATTATTGTCTTAACTCTCGAGAACAGGATAGTCTTAAAATCTCTTAACAATCTAACCTAAACCTAGAAAGAGTCAGCTTTGGAGCCTATAAAAGCCTTTGACGTCGAAACGTCAAAAAAAAACAAAAGAGATTGCCTAATAAGCCCTTAATGCAATACCTTAAGATAATCTTGTCACATTCTAAATTCCTTAAATTTCAACTTTCTACAGAAGCTTTCTGAAAAATTGTACCCAAGCACCGAATTGTTGTTATTAATTCATTTAGTTAATAATAAATTATTTCCTAAAGGCTCGAAAATCATCAAAATTGATTGCGTATCTACTGAAGCGTTTATTTATTTTTTTTGGTTAAAAAAGGCTCGTATTGAGGCGAAATTGGATTCGGGTCATCTTGATGGAAAGACGTCTTGGTAAAGAATTATCCACACCGTATACACACTTAAAAACTATCTAGGATTTAGATCACATCGCTTATGTCTAGGATAAAACGCGCAGCTTAACCGCGCGTTTGCTTAAATTTAGGTAATCGGATTAAATAATCTCTTAAATTTAGGTCATCGGATTGAACTTAAATCTAACTTAAATCTTAACTTAAATATCTAAAGGAAAATAAAGAGTCCTTCCCACTAGGATCGCGGATGCTGTAGATGTTGTTGTTTGTTGATGTTGTTGTGCGTATCCTGAGGTCAGCTCTAACGAATCTCACTGTACTTGTTTGTCCTTAAAACTAAGCTCCTGTGCGGAGAAGTCCTTATTTTAGTCACATTCACTTCACTTAAACGTTTAATTAAAAACTAACTTAACTAGATTTCAACACACGTTGATTAAAACTAGGTCCAATACACCTTACGATCTAACTAAATATACATATTATCACGGGATAATATATATATTGCTCTACTTATTTTTCATGGATTGATGCATTTTCTATTCACACGAATATTCCGAGATTATGAGCCCCGATAAAACCGAAAGTTTTCTATCCTAATCCATTTTTTTTAAAGTTTTTTTTTTGTTGTAAATCGTTTACTTCCAGATATTAAAGACCATTGCTGGTTTGCGCAAGAGATAAAGACGACATGTGTCGATTAGTATCGAATGGTTTGCATTTCGCTCATCACGACTTAATTATATTAATTAATTAATTCTTAATAAGCTAGTAGAACCTAAATCGAAAGCTAATAGATAATACATTCAGATTTCAAAACTTACTACAAATGTGTGCATTTTAAAATAGGTTGTCCTTGAGGAAGGCTTCGATCAATAGCTCGTGTTTCTTGAGCCACTTGATCTGCGCAGGGTCCGGTTTCTTCTTATTCTTCTCCTCATCCTCCTTCATCTTCATCTCCTCCGTCTCCTTGTTGCCGGTCATCTGGCAACCGATTTCGGGGAATTGCTTCAAGAATTTGTCCATCTGAAAAAAAAATGTTGAGATAATTAATTGTCGAAATTATAGTTAGTTCTTGTAAGCGCACCATTTGGGTATGCAAATGTTCATCGATGTACGGCATTTTGATCATATCGAAACCCGTGTTGAGGCCCGAAGAATTTATCTCGTAAACTCCGACCTTCTGGAAAAAGCTGTACCTGTAAAAGATAAAAAAAAATCAATGATTTCAATATTACTTTCTGAACATTGCAAATTTGAAAGACTCACATGAATTGTAGAAGCAGCTGGAAGTATTGGATTACTGTTTCGTAGAGGGTCAAGTTCACAATTTCGGGTCCGTTTTCTGATACGAATTTGGCCCAAATCCTCTCTCGCACAGCCGAATCTAGATCTGTTTGCAAATTAAGTGCATAAACAATTGTAGTTTTTTTCTTCTTCATAAGTATAATTACCGCAATGGAACATGAGTTTGCGCAGTTCAACGGATAACGGAATCTCCCCGTCTATCCAGGAGTTCACGGTGGCCAGGGACTCCTGGAGGCAACGGGTATGGCCGATGGAGCAGGCCATGTAGAAGACGGCGTATCGGGCCAATCTGCAATGATTCGGACGTTAATAAGAGATGGCGTACTTTTGCATGCATTTACCTATCGATATGCTTGTATTCGGAATCGTCAGTCCATGAGAATTTCGCGTAGGCGTTGTTGATTACGTTCGCCAGGAATGATTTGATGTGACCAGAGAGGTTGCTTCCATCCAGATATTGGCACAGCTTGATCAGATGTTGAGTCGCCACGTGCCAAGGCACGTAATCGTACTCATCGACCATGGTCTTAGTCAATTCCAAAGGTATCAAGTATGAAATTAGCTCAGCGTCGGCCAAAGAGAATGAATCGTCGATGAGATTAACTCGATCTGATATATCTAAGCTTCGTATGTTATTGATCAGCGTCATCCAATCCCCTATATCTTCGTAATTGACGCGATAATAGCCGATTTGATGATGATTGAACTTAACCCATTCGGCGTCAGGAATGTAAATATCAACTGAAAACAATATACAATTATACAATTCCATTAAGATTTATTTCATCTTACTGTATGGATCGTCGTGATTGAACCAAACCAAAGAAGGTTCTTTGGATTTATCCGTGGTGTAGGTTATAGGAATGGTCCACTTGTACCTAAAAAAATATTTATAAATACATTTTCATCTTTGTAAATGAACACTGTGACTAACTTGAATGGGTTTGTCACTGAAGATGCTCGTGTGTTGGGTTCTAAGAGGAATCTGGCTTGCGTGAGTCGATATCCGCCGACGATTCTTGTCGCGGTGAGGACGGGAATTCCGTTTTGAGATGTCCAGGTGCTCATGAAACTCTTAATATCAGCGTCGTCTTTGGCCAACTCGTGTACCTCGTTGATGAACTCTCGAGGGCCGGCGTTTCCGAAAGCGTTGTTGGTGAGGAAATTGGTGGTAGCCTTTTGGAAAACCGGTTCAGTTGCCGCATGTTCCAACATCCTGTATATTGCTGCAGCCTGGAAAAGAAGATTAGAACAGTTGGAAAACTTTAATTTCCATTTATACTAAAATAATGTTAAATTCAACGCTATTAGTAAAGAAACTATAAGCAACATTAGTTAAGTCAAAAGTGTTTAATGGTTGGATTAAGTAAAATTTTACCTTTAGATATGATATGGGGTCGTAGATGCGTTTGAGGTCTCCGGTAGTTTCAACTTTTCGATCCAAGATATTGGTGTTGGGTTCCGCATCCAAGTACATAGCCGGTTGGGTGCTTTCAAGTAGGAATTGATCCATCTGCAAAAATGAAAAAAAAACAATGAAAAACACGTCAAATTATCAAACTTTCAAAGATTACCAATCCCCAATCCGGTTTTACCGAATCCATGGCTTTGTACTCGATGTAGGAGACGTAGCCTTCGTATAACCAAACGTCGTTCCACCACTTCATGCTCACTACATTAACAACAAATTTTAGTGTGAATTTTATTGCTTTTTATTGTATTTTTTACCGTAATTCCCGAACCAGTTGTGGGCAAGTTCATGGGCTATGAGCATGGTCGCGCACTGCACGTCGTAGCTCTGAGTGTTTGCGTGATCGATGAGCAAATCGTCTTCTTTGATCGTGATGAATCCCGAATGCATGGTGGATCTACGTAAACGCAGTTCCGGTAAACCCAGAATATCTATTTAAAAAATCGAATTAATCAATTATAATTAATATTATGTAATTGTCGTACCCAATTTCGGGATGGTATAGTTCACGTTGAAATATTGCAAGTAGAAGTTGAGAAGTTCGAACGAGAGCTTAAACGAATCGACCAGTTTGATGTTGTTTCCGAAGAGTCTGACGGTGATGGGACCTGAAGGAGTCATCAACTTCTCCTGACGATTATCCAAGTCGCTTATGGTGAATCCCGTCATGCACGTCGCCATCTTATTGGTCTTCGCGAACTTGATTACATCTCCAATTTCCATATTCTCCGGTTCGCCCTTTTTGAAACAAGTTTTTTTGTTAAATATTTTTTTGATGATTTTGAGGATAATTTACCTCTTCCGGCATTACTGAGACTACGACGAATCTCTTGGGCTTCGGTTTCATGATTTTGAACGAGAACGTAGCCTTCATGGTTGGTTGATCGAAGCACGGATAGATGGATCTGGCACCCGTATCTCCCATGTTTGTAGTAGCAAATAACCTGAATAATTAATAATTGATATTAATTAATAATTGATTGATTTATTGTAAATTTTATAATTTTACCTTTGTTTTCCTTTGTGCTCAAATTTGGTCAAAGTGAGACGAGTTCCGACTGTAGTCATCGATCCTGAAAACGGGATCACAGCTCTGTACTTCCCAGTCACCAATCCTTGTTTCATCGTGATCTTCATGATCTCTTTGTACTCGTCGATATCGATGCTCTCGATGTTCAACTCAGTGGCGTTTCCATCGAAAACGCTGACTTTTCCAATCTTCAGGTTCTTGCTGTGTAAAATCAAATCCTTGGTCGTCTTCTGCACGTCTATGGATACGTTGACCGATCCATCGAAGCGGCCGTTGTGGAGGTACGGCTTTATGGTGACGTTGTAGTGGATAGGTTTGACGTACGATGGTAGCTTTACCATGGGTTTGCTTCCTTTGTGCTCAGATTTGCTCTGGTACATGGAGTACGGTTGCTTCTCGTTGATGATCCTGTATATCATCGTCACCGTGTACACGAACGTTACGCAAAGGACGCAATTCCAGATCATCAGGAGGTAGTTCCTGCCTGTCCGTCTTTCCCGTTTCTTCGGTTTCGGTTTTGGAGCCACTTCAGGTTCCGAATCCGGATCTGCATCCGATTCTGTCTCGAGCTCCTTGGAGCCCGTAGCCCCGCCGGCCTTCGACATTTTCACAGCCTCCTAAGATCAAATAATCAGCAGTTCCGTTAGTACCTACCAAAGAATTAAAAAATATCTTATCCAAAACATCATCATCAAAACTTCTTAATACACAGAATGAATCTCAATATAACTACCATCCGATGTTGATTCAGTTGTCTGGATCTTGAAATTAAGTCTAAAAACTATTAAGAAAGATACAACTTCGTCGAAATCGAAAAATCATCATATTCTCAGTGTAATTGCATATTAGTATTAGTATCTGCATATTTGAAAAGATGTTTTGAATTGAATTTAAAAATAAATATTTATTTAATTTTAAAAAGTCTTTAAAAATTACTCACATTACATCATTCCTGTATATACTAAATAAAATTAGTCCAATAATTTTTAATTTTGTTAAACGTTATAAAAAAAAGAACCCCCACAATTGAAGCAATAAATTTAGATTTTTTCAATTGTTTTACTGATTTGTTTGGCAGTCACGTTATTTCAAGGATATTTGATAATTTGTTAAATAATTTTAACAATTGTCAATTTTTCATTCTTTACTTACCAAAACATTGCTTTATTTTCGAACTATGACAAACATCAATATAAATTAATTTTATTTCAATTAATACGTTTTTTTTTTTTAATATTACACGATTTTTTCACAGAGAAAAATGTGTAAATCAATTATTTTTAACATTTATTTAATTTATTTTAAACCGTGTTATACGAAAACCGTGTAAATCGAGTACCGTGTAAAACGAAGGATTGATGTCTATAGTAAAAACAAAAGAAAAAATAAATAAATCTAGGAATCGGTTTCGTTTACGTCATCAAACATGGCGGACAATTATCGATTAGCAACGAAAATGGCGTCAGCGTCATTTGTTTTCGAAATAGAGTTTGACGTTTCTGAGATCGAAATGAATTTGACCATTTGCGCAAATTAAACAAACAAATTTTGCTTAACTTTACCAATCCGTTACATATCAATACAATTTCGCATTATTTCGACTAATTAATAAAAGTTTCAGCTAATTATTTAAATAATGAATTCGATAATAAACAAATTTTCTGTAAAAACAAAACAAATCTAGGAGTATATTTCGTATACGTGAGCAAACATGGCGGATCATTATCGATCTGCAATGGAAATGGCGTCTGCATTTTTATGCGGAAACACATCGACCAGAATTATATTTAATTTGACAATTTGCAACAAAATTAAGTAATATTTTTAGAAATTGTAAAACTAAATCGAAATGAAAAATTAAAACTATCAATGATTGAGAAAATGGTTGCCAAATTTGATAGTTTCAAGACGGCTGTGGCAACGTACACAAATTTCACAGGAAACACAAAATGAACAACATTTATTTTCATACACAATTATTATATAATACAATTAACAGATACACGAGTCAACTACAACATAAATTTATATTACATACATATTTTTTTTTAAATAATTCTACAACATTTAAACAACAATCAGCATTCGACGACAACAAACAAACAAATAAAAATAAAATAAGCAACATCGAGTTTACTGGTGCAACAAGATGGCGGACAATTATTGATTGATACAATTTTGCTGACGTCAACAAAATGTCAGATTTGACACTTATATTTTTAAATGCAACATTTTTTACAATTATCAGATTTGTTGATGTCAGACACAAAATTAATTAATTTCTTAATGATTTTTTTTTTAAATCAATATTTAAAATTTACTAACGTCATTGAAATGTCAGACACACAAAATAAAGTTTATTTTTTTCAAATTATCCTTATTAAATCGAAAATATGTTTTATGAAAAATATTGTCTAAAAAGTGACTACAAATTATCTTAAAATCGCAGATTTGCTGACGTCAACTATATGTCAGATTATACACATTATCTTAGTTTATTTTTCTTAATAATAAATGTGATTTATTATAAAAATAAACTTAGTAAATTGTTTTTTTTTCATTATTTCACAATCGCATGCAACAGAGGGGGCTACGAATTATTGATCACCACAAGATGGCTGACAGATGTGACCTTTCAAAATGGCAACGAGCGCGTAAACCACTAGATTTATTGTATATATTTTTTTTTTCACACACAAAGTTACATTTATTTTCAAACTAAATTACAGACACACAATTTGTATAATTCTACGAACATTTAAACAACATTCAGCATTCAATAAAAAAAAATATGATTAAAAAATTAAAAATGAATTTGATTTAAAAAAAAAAATAAAATTAATTAACATGTAGTTTAATTTTAAATGTAAAAAAAAATTAATAAATGAAACGATAAGCAACATCAAGATTACATCAAGTCAAAAATGATTAAGTGCATTCTCTTATTTTTATATATATTGTTAAGTATTAACAGTGGACACCAAACACTATGAGTTTCTTTTGTTGTACGAACAGTTAAAATACCTTCAGAAGCGGTGACTTGGTGTTTAGTTGTATGCTTGCTGTATGCAAATGCGATGCTGCTGTTCTGTTCACGATTTCGATAGCTCCGGACGCGCAATGAGAGTGCATCCGGGGGCTGCAATTCATCGATCACCCCGGATTTCCTCCACCTGTGGGGGCGGGCGCATGTCAACGGGACGCATTTAATTTATTGCATGCAATAGAACGTGCAGAATGTACGTGGGATGCATCGTCCCCATCGCAACCAATGTCTGATTTGGTCCACGCGACGCAACACGGACACAACGCACACAAAATACAATAGCCAAAATAAAATAAAGAACGACATCATGTTGAGCTGCACGTGAAATCCCCGGGGCTTCCGTACAGACAGACCTCGAAAATCGATTTCCACCAAATATTTTTCAACATTTAATTATTTATTTTTTCTTTCCATTCTCTAATTTCTTAGTTTACATTATAATTATAAATAAAACATAGAAATATAAGTTAAAAACTAAATTTTTCAATGTTTTTTTTGGGCTATTTATACCAAGTTACCCGGCGCATCCACATATTATTTTTTTGTCATACTTTTATTTCTTTTTTTTTTCCCTAATTAGAAATTTTTTGTGTAATTACAAATATATAAAACCAATCTGAATTTTTCATAAAAAAAATACTTAAAAATAATATATCATCTAATTTTCGAGTTTTTAAACTAAAAAAGTTTAATATATTAACTATGACCAAATCATATATTATGTTTCATACTTTATTATCAAAACTTCATTATTGACAATTTTACTAGAAAAAGATATAAAATTTCATAAATAATTTTAGTTACTAATAGTTAGTTGATAATTAAAAAATAATAATTTTAATAATAATTCATTAATATTTTTCATGTTAATTTTCTCATACTTTTGTTCAAAAAAAATGTAGTATTGTTTGTATTGACTTATGGGAACTTGATGATCGGAGCATCCATTATATCACCATGGAAACCAATATGTCATAATTAGAATTTAAAAATCTAATCTAATCATTAGATTTTTTGAAATCAATGAAAATTTGAAGATTCACCCTGTATACTGTCTGGTTACATGGGAACACGGGTTTACATGCATATATAGAGTGACTTTCCATGAGAATCAATACTTGTTGCACAATAAAATGAAATACTCAATTATAATCAAGAAACGTACAATTTCTTATGTTCATTTCATTTTTCATTGATTGTATAAATATATTGTGTATTGATTAACAAAATCTGGGAATCTGGAAAGCAAACAGATCGATGCAGCTCTTCTCACATTACCATGGTTACCGTAACTATGTATTTAATTATATCTATATGTTGCGCATCCGGAATCGGTACTAAAAGAGATCGATGCAGCTGCTGTTTCCATGGTTACCACAAAATGGAATTACATATGTACATATAAGTATATAAAAATGAACTTTTGGACAATTGATGAGATCAGAACGATGCAGCTACAATGTCAGTACGGAAACTAACGAATATATGCGAAAGCTAATGTTTTCGTAATATAAAAGATGTATAAATAAGTTTTGTTTAATAATGAATAAGTATGCAAGAATATTTTGAGTATGGAAATCCAGGATATCAAAGTGAACAAATCGATGCTGCTGCTATTGGTTACCTTAGTTACCACAAAATGGCATCGCGTATATATTTACAAAAGTATATAAATATCTTTTATATTATATATTGAATGTGATTCGATGAGACCAGATCGATGCAGCTGCTGTTACCTTGGTTACCAGAGTATAGCATAACGTCAACGTCGTAGTTGAAAATTTTCAAATGTTAAATACGAATGACGCATTTTATTCAATTATATTTTTTCATATTTAAAAGGATTAAAAAAAGAACATTATCCACCCTGTATCTTATCTGGTCGTAGAAGGTCACAGTGTTTATATATAGGGTGTTTCCAAGTATAACTGTTGCGTAATATTTCTCATCAGGGCACATTTAAAAAAAAAATTATATAATTTTGTAAATAATTCAAACTTGTTATTGGTTTAACATGAACAAATCAATGCAGCTGCTAATGTTTACCTTGGTTACCACAAAATGGCGTCGCGTATATAAATATCTTTTATATTATTATATATTGAATGTCCGGGAACTCGATGAGATCGGATCGATGCAGCTGTTACCATGGAAACCAATATGGCGCAACATCTATTTGTGAATTTTCATGTTAAATACGAATGACGCATTTTATTAAAGTATTTCTTTTCTTATATTAAAAATATTAAAAACAGCAAAAAAAAATATAATATTATCCACCCTGTATGTTGTCTGGACGCACAAGTATACTGCGTTTATATATAGGGTGTTACCAAAGAGAATCGATAATTGTTGCGCAGTGTTTAACATCATGCCACGTTTCTATTAAGATGTTTTTTTGTATCCTTTTGTAAATATTTCAAACCGTTATTAATAATATTATTATTAATAATGGTACTTGCTACCAGAGATGATTTTGAATATGGAAATCCATCGTTAACAGATCTATGCAGCTGCTGTTTCCTTGGTTACCATGAAATAGATTTGCTGATATAATTATAAAAGTATATAAATATCATTTATATTATATATTGAAAATCCGGGGACTCGATGAGACCGGATCGATGCAGCTGTTACCATAGAAACCAATATGGCGCAACATCTATTTACGTATGTATTAATTGAACTGCGTATTTGATTACATATAGGACAGTTTTATACAATAGAGAATTTTTGGGGCTCACGAAAAAATAATGGATTTAAAATTCAAGAATGGTATCTAAATGGAAGCCAGGATGACCTTGGTTACCACAAAATGGCGTCGCGTTAATAATTATATAAGTACATAAATATCGTTTACATTATATATTTATATTATGTATTGAAAATCCGGGGACTCGATGAGGCCAGATCGATGCAGCTACGCTGTTACCATGGTGACCAAACCGTCTACTTGCAATTTGTTATGTAACAAATATGAAAGACGTATATTTGATAGCGTTTATAAAAAAAAGTAGATCCACCCTGTATGTTGTCTGGACTTACAAGAACGCTGTGATTATGTGTATATAGGGTGTCTCCAAGGAGACTACAATGGTTGCGCAATACAAAGAAATACCATTATTTTAATTGTTTTTGTAAATAATTAAGTTTATGGTTAAAATATTGAAAATTACAACAACTAAAAATTAATTTAATAATAAAACAAATTAATAATTATAAAGGAATTTAATACGGATGGAAATGTGAACAGATCGATGCAGCTAGATTCGTGTTACCATGGTTATAGAAATGACGTTTTTAAATTGAGTGTCCGGAACCTGGACTAGGCAAGATCGATGCAGCTGTTATCTCCTTGGTTACCACAAAATGGCGACAAGTATGTGTATATCTCAGCCATTTTGGTTACAATAGCGATTTAGATGTATTGATCTGTTTCAAGTTTAACCCTTTGTGTGCTAGTGGTTCCACTGTGGACCACATAAAGTGCAATTATTTCCAAGATTTGTTTTTCTCAGTGATTCCGTAGTGGAATAACATGTTTTTACAAGTACTAAATAAAAATTACACATTTTTAACCTAGTTTGTCCAAAAATCGACAGATTTGACAAAATTTAATTGGGCCCCAAAGTTGTTCCTTCATATTATTGATTATTAACTTTTCTTAAATGAAATACTCATTAATTTTTTTTGTATTAAAAATTAACCATCCTATTTTACTTTGTCCACCATGTATATAGTCTGGAAGTATTGTAAGTTATATACAGAGTGACTACAAACAAAATCAATAATTGTTGCGCATACTTGTAAATATTTTACAAATTAAAATATTCTTTAGTCAAAAATTGACAATTAATTAGATTTTTAACATTTTTAATATATATGGTTAATTTGATAATAATAGTGTTATAAAACAAACAAAATATCATAATTACATTTAAAAGATTAAAAAAAAGTATTAAGAATGAAAGTTCATAATATTAATTAAATATGTTTCAATTAAAATCCAGATTTTAAAAACAGATCGATAGAGCTACAATTGTGTTGCCATGGCAACCAAAATGGCGTCGGGTTTATATATAGCTCGGATGGAAAAGATTGACACTGCTTTGATTTCCTTGGTAACAAAATGGCGTCCTGTTACTATATAAAATCCTACAATAAATAATGTAAAGAAACCAATAAAAATACAGTAAAATGTACTTTTTGTTAATTTCACTTTAAAAAAATCTATAATTTAATACAATTAATATTAAATTAAAAACATTTTAAACATAATTATAAATGAATTATATTCAATAAACATTGCTATATAATATATAATGTACGTAGATGAAGGAAAATCGATGTAGCTATGCTATTACCATGGTTTCCAACATGCGCATTGCAACTTGTCAGATCCTGGCCATAAAGGATCGATGCAGCTATGGTCACCTTGTCAACTTGAATGGCGTCGTATAAATATTTGTTAAAAGAAATTATACAACAAATTTATCAAATTTTCAACAGTTTTCATGACAATTTTATTGGTAAATGTGACAAGTATTATTTAATATTATTATAAATATAATGATTACATTTGTACCGTGTACAAATATACAGGGTGTTTTCATAGAAAATTAATAACTGTTGCATTTACATTGAAATATTACAAAATTAGATGATTAGATTATATTGTCATGTTTTATTCTATATTCTATATCATTCTATATTTAATTAATATCTGACCTCTGGATTCGAACAAATCGATACAGCTAGGATCACCATAGTAACAAAGATGACGCTCATTTTATATTTGTTATTGACTTATTCATATATATATAAATACTTATGCAATACGTATGCATTTGGTAGAGAGATTCCGTTTCTGGGTACCAGTCAAATCAATGCAGCTACTAGGATTACCATGGTAACAAGAAAAATAACACCCAGTCTTTGAATATAGTATTGGTATTCATTGCAATAACAAATTTTATAATTTACAAATCAATATTCTTATATAAGAATTTATTTGATATGTAATAATGATTCGAATTAACTTACTTATTTATTGAATTATAAAATAATATATGCAAATGCTGTAGAACATAAGTATTATATACAAATTTTGGGCTCTGGCAGATCGATGCAGCTACCATAACTATGGTAACAATTGTTATTTTTTTGTAACCAACTAATTAGAAATCGGAATTTCTCTTATCATTAACATAATATATATATTCATTAGGAAAGTTAAGAAAATGCAATTAATGATGTATTATTTTGTACAACTTTTATAAATATATCAAAAATCTATAAATGTATATGACATCTATATTATATGATGATCAGGGCCCTGGATTCGAACGCATTCGATCGATGCAGCTTCGGTTACCATGGTTACCACAGTTGCGCATTTGTTTAAAGACGTTATTTGATGTAACAAGTAACAAAACAAATTAATTTCAAACGAATTATGTAATTGAGTAACCGTGGTAACGAAGTTAGTTACGCATTTATTTATATTTACAGTATCAAAAACAAAAAAACAAATTAATCGCAAATTTTATTACATAATAACCTATAAATTTAATAAAATCTATTTAATAATTAGATATTGAAATTATTGAAACCGATTGATGCAGCTATGGTAACCATGGTAACAAAGATGGAAGCGATGTTATTTGTAGACATACATTTATTGATTAATTCCGGATATTAGAACCGATCGATGCAGCTATGGTAACCATGGTAACAAAGATGGAAGCGATGCTATTTATAGACATACATTTATTGATTAATAACATAAATCGTTATAAATTTCCCCAAAAAGAGAATTGAAAAAAAAACTTAATTTATTTTGTACATTTGCTTATACTTAACAAAAATGAATATTCACAAACAAATTAATTACCAGTTTATTTAAAATTAATTTCGTAAAGCCCTGTATATTGTCTGGAGATTCGTAAACGTCCTGTATAATATCAACAGACATACACAAATGTGTGTGTGAACGTCTGGGGAGGTTTCGGAGGAAATCAATAATTGTTGCGCCATAAATTTACATAACATGATTTCAATACATAAGCATTTTTACTGTGTGTATATCTGCATGCATTGGGTAGTTTTTTTTTTTT